GAAAACTTAACAATGTAGAATTAAAAGAGTCAAGGGAACTTAGTAATACTGGTGACAAATGAAGAAGAAATTATACTCCAATTGAAACATTAAACAATAAACTTTAAGGGGATGCCTGGAATGCCGGTAATAGGGGAGGAAAAGTTAATGAATAAAAATTCTGACTTTTTTAAGTGCTTGGATTGAAGGTAATGTTGTATAGGGGTAATACTTTCCCCTCAAAATAGGGGTCATAGTTACTCTAACCCCCCCCCCTTTAGGGTAGCTTTTTTCCCTAGGGTAATTTATATGCATGACATGTACTACTCCGTAAATGTTACGAATAAAATTAATTCAAAAATTCGCAAAATTCATCATCATTCCTCAACAAAAACCGAAATTCATTAACAAAAACTTCACTTCATTCATCAACAGAAAACGTAAATTTCAACAACATTCATCAACAAAACCGCAAATTTCCTCAAAATAAGCAAATAATTCATGAATCCATCAGGGGTTTTCATCCAAAAACTTCTCAAACTGTGTTACCTCACTAGTAGAAAAAGTCAAATGACCACCGCAAAATGCGCACTAGTTTTTAAAAACCGGAACGAAAAAAAATAGGCGGGATTGAGGGAAAAAGTTTTCGCACCGGTTCAAACCAAACCGGTGAGAAAATGAGTTAATCGCACCGGTTAGAACCCGTGCGAATGTTATTGTTAAAAAAAACATCTCGCCCTTTTACCTCTTTCTTTCTCTTTCTGTCTTCTTTCTTCCTTGATCTCTCGTTCTCTCTCATCTCTAGCTCTCAGTCTCAACCATTGCTACTCTCCTTCGAAAATCGCCGTCAATTTGAGCCAAGGACAACCATCATCGCCGCCGCCATCTATTTCCTGAATCTACAACAATGGAGGCTCTCTTGCTTTCTCTTTCCTCAAACTCGCAGAATCTGTTCCGGGAACGATAGAAATCGAAGAATCTGTGTTCTTCGGTGAAGAAAACCTACAACCTAGTTCATCGGGGTTGATTTCCGATCTCAGAACAGAACCAACAGTAGTGGAGTGTAGATCTGGTGGTTCTGGTTCTATAAAACGGACCAAACTCAGTGGTTCTTCTAACCCTAGATCCAGATTGGTTCTGAAAAACGCTCCAAGAGTCTCCTTGTTGACCTGTTGAAGAATTCATGGTGCTGGAGCAAAAATCTCTAGTGAGGAAGATGTACATCTTCCTAATGAGTCCCTCTCTACGAACTGAAATTGCTTGCTCACAGTTCTTGGTAGATTTCTGTAACCCTTACCTTTTCTGTTTTTTTAGTTTTCTGATTTTTTTTAAAATGCTTTACTTGGATGCATGTTTAAGGTGGAGGTAGATGTCTGATTCATGTTGTATGCCAGCAACAAAAGTTGCTGGCCAAGTTGGATTTTGGTAATTGTTGGTAATTGTTGATAGTATTGTTGTTGTTATTGTTGATGGTATTGTTGATGTTGGTAATTGTTGGTAATTGTTGATGGTATTGATGTTGTTATTGTTGATGGTATTGTTGATTCTGGTAATTGTTGGTAATTGTTCATGCCAGGTTGGATTTTGGTAATTGTTGGTAATGTTTCATGCTGGTAAATGTTGATGGTATTGTTAATGGTTATTATTGATGAAAAATTGTTAATAGATGGTATTGTTGATGGTCCCTGAATTGTTGATGGTATTGTTGGTTTTTACTGTTGGTAGTACATTATTGTTGAGAGGATATCATGTGTGCAAGACATACCTTAATGTGTTGAGTCCGTTTGCCGTAAGTAGTTAGACTAATATATAATCCATATGATGAAGGGACTCACTTACATCTTACATCTACTCACTGTGTACTATTAATGTGCCCAATGAACCTCTTTGAGCGGACATGCTGTGTGCTATAGATATCATAATGCGTTGAGTCCCTTGGCTAAAATAGTTACACTAAGATAATCCATATGATGAAGGGACTCACTTTCATCGTACAGCTTCTCACTGTGATTTGCTCCGGTTTGTCCGTTGAGGTAACACAGTTTGAGAAGTTTTGGATGAAAAAAAACCCCCTGATGGATTCATGAATTATTTGCTTTATTTTAATGAAATTGATGTAGATCTTTGTGGTACTTGTAGAGTTTAGTTGATAGCTCCCTACAACAGTAGTTGTTATGATACATGGTTATATAGTTTTGGTTATATAGATGTGTTTGTAAGATTTGAACTTAATTAGTTTTCACCTTAATACATGGTGACTCTAGTAGTTGTTATGATAAGTATCTTTGTATGACCTCCATTTTCTGTTATGTTTTATGTAATCAAATCTGCTTCGTTACCCCTTAAGGTCAACGCAACCTTGTTAAACCTGTAGTTTTTTTTTTTTTTGTATTTCAATTAGTGTACATTTTGTACATTCTGCTTTGTTGCTCCTGCTGCATGCTCCTGCTGTTGAAGTGTCTGCACTCTACAGACCAGATGATGCTATGCTCCTGTTGTTGTTCTGCTCTATAGCTATTGCTACTCCGCTACTGTGTTGCTGCTGTTCTGCTATTTTGGTCTTTCTAAATTTGTAAATTTTCATTTTTTTTTCGACGAAAATTGTAATATTACAACCTTTTTTAATGAAAATATGTTACTTTATATATATGTAAGTGTTTCTATATCAATTTAAGTTAAAAAATGCAAAAAAAAAAAAATATATTTTTTGGGGTATAATTGGCACCGATTTTGAACCGAACCGGTGCCAATTGTTATTAATCCCACACAAAAAAAAAAACGCGGCAATACACTTTTAGCACCGGTTAACCGGTGTGAAAGCTTAGAATTGGCACCGGTTAACCGGTGTGAAATCTTAGAATTAGCACCGGTTTTGAACCGATGCGAAAGTATTTGGTTTTTGGCATCCCTCAAATCTGGACCGGTTCAAAAGCGGTGCTAAATGGAGGTTTTGAACCGGTGCTAATTTACATTTTTCGCCTAGTGCCTCAATGGACAAATCGGAGCAAATCATAGTGAGAAGTTGTACGATGAAAGTGAGTCCCTTCGTCATATGGATTATCCTAGTGTAACTATTTACGGCCAAGGGGCTCAACGCATTATGATATCTATAGCACACAGCATGTCCGCTCAAAGAGGTTCATTGCACACATTAATAGTACACATGCTCATCATTCGTAACAATAATCCAACAACAATAATTCAGCAACAATAACCAGCAACAATAATCCAGCCCGCCAACAACGTATGCTGGTATACAACATGAATCGTTCATCCGCCACTTAAACATGCTTCTAAGTATAGAATTAAAATAAATTTAGAAAACTTAAATAACAGAGAGGTTAGGGTTTCAAAAATCTACCAACAAATGTCAACAAGCAAGTTCATTTCGAACAGGAAGACTCAATTGGAGCATTATGTCAAGGCCATAGCCGAAACTGTAAAGGAGCTCAGGCCACGACGACCCCTGCTCAAGTGCGTCAATTAGGGCTAAGATTAACCCCTTTCAACCTCATCGTTACTCTCAAATAACGCAAGGTGTAATGGGAAAACATTCATGGCCGCCATCGAGGGACTCAAACACAGATCTAGGGTTTTTGATTTGCGAAAAATCGATTGTAGGAAAATCGAACCCAGAAAAACGAAGAAGATGAAGATGAATAGGAATCAATTTTAGGAAAATCGAACCTAGAAAAACGAAGAAGGAGAAGATGAATAGAAAACCGATTTTAGGAAAATCGAACCCAGAAAAACAAAGAAGAAGAAGAAGATGAATAGATGGTGGATGGAAGAAGACAGTGAGAGTGAGGAACAACAGAGCGGGGGGAAAGAGATGATGTTGAGGAGAGAGGAGAGAGGAGAGAGAAGAGAGAGATAAAACGAAAGACTGAGGAAACAAAAAGAAAGTAAAGGGGAAAGAGAAAGAAGGAAAAGGGGCGGTTTTTTTTTTAGGAAAACAATTGGAACCGGTTTGAACAAGTGCCATTTCAAGAAATTCGCACCGGTTTGGTTTGAACCGGTGCCATTGCTCTTACACTAAATCCGGCCTCGTTTTTTTCCCACCAGTTTTTAAGAACCGGTGCGAATTTCTTGGTGCGCATTTGTGTTTTTCTACTAGTGAAACGGTTTTCTCTTAAAACAAAAAACATGAATGCGTACAGGCTCATATGTGTTGGGCGTGTTTTTTGGGAGAATATAGCTATTAGGCTGTTATTTGGGCCTAGTGCACCTATTTCTAGGTGCACCATGGTGCATGTAATGACAAGTGGTTTAAAACAAGGTATTTATTATCTAAGAAAAGAGAATGATGATTCAAAATTTAAATCATGCATGGAGAAATTCAAGTAGTGGAAAATTGTATAAAGAATTGTATGGAAAAAAAGAAAAAGGTAATGAATTTAACCAAATTCACCAAATATATTAAATTGAAAGGAATTTTCTTACTTTGATAGGATTACATATTCGGATATTCCTAATCGAGAAACGCGAAGATCGTAAAGGATTAAAGGGATGATTATCTATTACTAAAACAAGCCAGACTAACATCATTTACCCCAAATTATAAAAAATTAAATACTGAAAAATATTTAAAGAAAAATGCGTAGTTAAGGATGCTAATTGAGCGATTCGATCACAATCTAGGGGGTGCTCAACTCGTGATCGAAAACTGGTGCTCGAGTCGTGATCGTTACTCGTTAAGCTCGTTAAATTAGTGCTCGAGTCGTGATCATTACTCGTTAAGCTCGTTAAATTAGTGCTCGACTCGTGATCGTTTATTTTTTTTTAGCTCGACTCGAGCTCAAAAATGCTCATTACTCGTTAAGCTGCAAAGGCTCGAATCAGCTCATTAACTCAAAAAACTCGATTGCTCGGCTCGTAACTCTCTAAACTCGGTAGCTCGGCTCGTCATCAGCTTGTCTAATTTAATTTTTCTGTTTTTTTAATTGTAACTTAACTATTTAATATTTTCAACTAAAAAAAAGTACTTATTTTTTGCATATATAATTTTCTTAAAACTACCATATAAAATCTAACAGAAAAAATGTATTAACAAATTCAAATTCTTACACTACAAACAATTAGAACATCAAACAAAGTACTACAATCATCATCAAATTTATCACATAACCAAAGAAAATGAATACAAGGAATCATTCTTTTCTTCACTTTGTCTTTGTTGCAAATTCTTCCTGCAATCTTCACCTATATCCTACAAAAAAATAATATATATCAAATCCAAATTAATAAATATTAAACTTATATATAAGATGTAAAAACTTAGATATTAAGTCCAATACCTCAGTATTAGGAAATTGGAAGAATGATTTCTTTTGGTTCTTCATCTCCAAAGTTATTCTACAATCAAAATAATAGTATTAAGTTGAAATAATAGTACAACAAAAAATATTGTATAGATTTAATAACATATTTTAACATAATGAAATTAAAAAATCAACAAAAGATAGTTAATAAGATTAGTGATTGTTTCTTTTGTGAATTGAGTAGTAGTGATGGTGGTCTGCAAAGTCACGAAATCACAAAGCTAGCAAAAAGGAAATGATTCTGATTTCATAATATGCAAACACTAGAAACACCCAAATTAATTGGGTAAACGAATTTAATTTCCACACAAAATCAAACGCCCAATTAATTGTAAATATTGGCTAAAAATCACCCAAATTAATCATCTAGTTTCTCAAGAACATAAAAAATTGTCCAACTATATGAATAAATTTTATCAATAATCGAATAAAACTACAAGAACAACTACAGATCTATAAGAAAAGAGAGTAATAAAACGCACCTGCCATATATTAAAAGCTTGTTCTTTGTCAAAATTGTCGATCTTGATCTCTACTTCCTTCTTCAATAATAGAAAAGAGATTTGAGAAAATTTTGAAGGAGGGTTGAGTGCGTACAGTAGCGGCTAGATGGAGTAAGTGTCTAGGCCTCTAGGGTTTTTGTTTTTCTTTGTGAATGAGTAGTAGAAAGTCTGGAAACTACTACTAGTAATTACTGGGACTTTTCTCCAAAGTAAACTTTGTTGGCAAACTATTTACAAAATTGGTTGCGTGGCAAAACTATTTACCAAACTAAGCTTCCAGGGTAAAACGTTGTCTCGGACAGCGTTTTTGCCCTGGATTTTTTTTTTTAAAAAAATTCAATCTGTAAAATGCTGTCTGGGACAGCATTTTACTCTTTGACTTTTTTAAAAAAAAATTCTTAGTTTCTCAATATTAAAAAAAAGGCAAATACGCATAAAATGCTGTCCGAGACAGCGTTTTATGTTCAATTTTTTTTTTGAACATAAAACGCTGTCTGAGACAGCGCTTTATGTACAAACATAAAGCGTTGTCCCAGACAGCGTTTTTCTGCTGGAGTAAAAACCAGTACAGCAGCCTCCAAAGCCTGCCCTCAAGACAACACCCCCAGCCCTCAAACAACCACCACCACCACCACCAACCCCTACCGTCCCACCACCGTTGACCACCACCAACCACCATCTCCCGCCACTTTTGACCATCCTTATGCACTTCAAAACACTCCAACAACCCCCCGCAACACTACAACCACCCCCACCACCAATCCCAAACTTACCACCACCATCGACCACCACCAACCACCACCTCTTGGGAGTTTCATCCACCCTTAAGCACTTCAGAACACTCCAAACACCCCCAACAGCACTACAACCACCGTGAACCACCAAAGTAACCACCACGGGCCATCGCTTCTACCCCGTTTCTCATTATGGAGCCCAAATGTCAACTGGTCGATATATATCGGCCTGGAAGGATCTATTTTGACTGACATAAGTCCGATTTTGACAAATGAGGAAATTAAAATTCAAACCACACACAAATTCATGCAAAAAACATTCATTATATTAATAATTAAGTGTTATATACATCATTCTACAAAATCGGGCTACAGGAAATAAATCAGCTAATACTATCCCGACTCATTTACTCGGGGTAAAGGTTCTGTCTCCTGTGTGTCGGCCCTCCGTCTGACACGACGCCGCCTGTAATGTGTAATGGTGGGGAATGGGTCTCGGGGTGGTGGGAGAGTCTGCTGGCTGGATGATGGACCCTCCTGGGTAGGGGTGGGCGCAGAACTGTGGATGATGTATAGGTGACGTAAGATCACCTCCATAGCTACTCTGGCCGAGCTCGAACTGTGAATGGACGGAGTGGCCATCATGGTCGTCCCGCTGGGTGACGAGATAGCCGTGACCATATCTCTGTAAGGTAGCCACTCCCATATCTCGTACCCGCTTGACCTGGGGTCTGGTGGGTCCGTCTACAAGGGCGATTGACAGTGCATCAACCATCGCGACCATATCCGCAGCCTGCAGTAACATCGATCAATCAGTTGTATGATATAGAAATTAAAAAATTGATGAAAATAAGTAGAATAAAAGAAACTCACATATCCGTTAATGACGTCAAATGCTGGATGGTAATGTGTGGATGGTGGTGTGTAACTGGGGTTGATGAAACGCCGTGTAATACGCCTGTACCACACCATGTACGGATCGTTTGGATCCATAACGCCCTGCATCAGATCACCTCCAACGACGAATTCCAGCCGTTGCGTCCACAGCTCAACGAAACGTCAATGCTCTAGTAACCAGCTTGTCTCCCCCTTTCCCCGACGGTCAATACCGTGAAGGCGTACACTAATGTCACACTGCTGGGGGATAGGCTGGCGTAGTCCAAACTGCCTCATGACTCGGTCGGGTAGGTGACTCTCCACGACCTCGAAACAGATCAAGGGGACCTTGGCACGCCACTTCGCCTGATGGTCCAGCAGATGTGCAGGCATAGAATCTACCAAGTCAGGTACATACGGATCCCATGTCATCTGCAATAACATAGCAACAGTAATATCATGAAAAGGTTAGTCGCAGACAGTATTCACAGTACAAAAATGTTTACAAGTATCTTTTAAATTATCACCTGGTCCTCGGTGAGTCGGTCTAAGGCGTCGCGGTAGTATGGAAGACCCCTCGCCGCATGCGCATGTGTCAGTCTGGGGACCACCCACCTAATACCGAAAAATGTTTCAGTTTATCAACTAGTACAATAAATAAAGTCTAAAGTAATGACAATTGTATCGAACTTGCAACAGTACGCCTCATCAGGTGTAGGGAGCGGTGGAGCATCGTACGCCTGGTATTGGTCGTCCCGGTCCTGCTCCCCTGGACGATGTCTAGCAGGCCTAATTGGTCTGCCTACATGGATAAGTTCCCAAGCCTAGAACTAGCACACAAAAATACAAAACTAGGTTTGGTATAAACTAGGTAAGTGGCTTTCGAAATAGGTTATTGGTAATTAATTAGGTGAGTTACCTGAAGCACAATCAAGGGACCTCCGATCTCGCCAGAACCAAGGTAAGTGCCGTCGGGAATGAGTTTGGGGCCGACGTACTGCGTCCAGGTTGTCTCGCTGGGGATAGGCCAGAATTGTGGTGCGTATGAGTTTGTGTAGGCCTCCGATTGCAGCACCGGGTGCACCCACGACCGCTCTAATAGTGAATACGTCGCACAGACTGCTAGAACATGAGAACATGGGAGGTGGAATATCTTTGGTTTGTTGCATGTACACGTTCTCAAGTGAAAGTTAACAGTGTGTTTATGGCCTCCTTTACTACCGAGTCGCTCTCCCCTTTCTGTTGTGACTTGGTAAATATGCAATCTGGCTTTTGCGGTGTTCTTCTCCAGAATGGTAGTGACCTTCGGGAGATATGCAAGTCCTTGTTCAGACCTAGCCTCAGAAGATTCCTTTCTTAAAGTGAAATACCTGTTAACTCTGTGGAAAGTTAACTCGACCAGGGACATGATCGGTAGAAACCGAGCTCCCTTCAACACATTGTTGAATGTTTCAGAGAAGTTTGTAGTACATATCCCATATCTGCGACCAGCGTCGTGAAAGAGAGACCACATAGTGAACGGGACTTGAACAATGTACTCCATTGCCTTGGTACACGCCTCACCGATGAAACACAAATCAACATGAAGTTTTCTTTCATGCCTATGGTACGCCGCAGCCTTGAACATATCTCTCATGTCGTTGCTTCACATGTGAGTCTTCAAGTTAGAAGCTATGTGGCGAACATAAAACATGTGATAGGCTCGCGGCTCGGTGAATCCAACGTTAGGATCATTCATTGCTGCAATGATCCCAAGATGTCGATCAGATATAACACAGAGGCCATCTTGTTGCGTGACATGAACCCGAATGCAACCCAGGAACCAAGACCAGCTGGAAGTGTTTTCCCCTTCAACCACCGCAAAAGCTAGCGGAAATACTTGGAAGCTTGCATCCACACTTGTAGCAACCAACAATGTTCCTTTGTACTTCCCGTACAAGTGCGTCTCATCGATGCAGATAACAGGCATACAATGTTTAAAACCGTCGATACAAGGACCGAAGGCCCAAAAGACTTGTTCAAACACTTCCATGTTGTTGTAGTACACACCGTCCACCAGAGCTTTGTGCTTCCATACGACACACGTTCCCAGGTTTGACTGTTGGAGTGCTTGCATGAAGTGTGGAAGTCTGCCGTAAGAACTCTCCCAATCCCCAAATATTTCAGCTATTGCTTTCTCCTTGGCATACCATGCTCTTCGATACGGAACATCGAAATGAAATTGCTTGGAGATGAGTTCCTGTATGAATTCAACTTTCAAGGATGGATCTTTCCGCACAAAGGACTTCACATACTCTGATATTAAGGACGAATCCAAGTGCGGGTGATCAGTAGATAGTACTTCAGTGACACAGTTCTCCCGGTGCGGGCCTTTGTACGTGACTAGGGTAAAGCCACGCGAGTGCTCACTTGATTTGGTACCCCGTAGCATCCAACCACATTTCTTCTTGCACCGCAAATGAAGGACACTCTCATTCGATGTCACTGTGGTGTAGAATTAATTCCTCTATGGAATACATCTTCACCATTTCTTGAAGCATTTTCTTACTTTCAAAATACATCCCCTTCTCAAATTCTCTCCCCGGAACAAACGATGTATGGCTACCCGATTCGGCCCAATACTGATCAACTTCATAGTTCTCGTTTACCTGACTAAACCAAGGAACGGGAGTTCTAACCAGGGGCTCGCCAACTTCCATGTGTGCAGGTTCAACATCCATGGTTTGAAGTCCATCTTCCTCCTCTCCGCTCTCGGCCTCATCATTTGTATACACATCATACACAAACAATTCATTATTCACAATAGTGTCAAGATGAACTAGCACAAGTTGAGACGGCGATGCTAGAACATCATCTTCCATAAGCGAATAACTATGCAATTGCATCAGTGAAGGTGTGACGGTGTTTGATGTCGAAGGTCCAGGTTACCCGGTCATTGCCACATATGCCCCCCCATGTACAGGTGAAGCTATATGAGAACTAAAAGGCATGTGAAATTGATCTTCGTGTAGCATTCGACTGAAAGATCCCATCCCATATTAAGTGTGAGGGCACTTGGAAGGGTTGTGTGTTGTAACTGGAAATATATGTAGATTGTTGTTCTGGCCGAGTAGTTTGTTGGGTACATATAAGCACCATTTCTACATATATCTCAGTGGGAACACCCTTCATTGCAACAACGCTCCTTAAAGCTTTCACATGCTTATTCGTAGAAACAGGTAACACTTGAACCCCGTTGCCGGTCTCAAACCTCATTTTATTGTCTAGTTCAACATTCCTCGGGTTTAAACCAACACTACTATGAACCTCGTTCATCAAATCATTGAAAATCATGTTCGGTTCAAGTGTTAGTGGTTCCATATTTCCCCCACTATACTCGATACGAGGTCCATCAAACAGAATTTCACCTCCCCACCAGCATAACAAAACTACATTTTGTGCAGCCATATTCTACACAACAACCAAAACACATTACACTTAAAGGCACTAAATCATCCCTAAATCTCCATAACTAAACAACAATATACATACTTTTCAAAATAAAACAGTTTAGA